AGTGAGAGAAAAGTAACTAAGACACCCATTCCTCTCTGAGGACATATAGGGGCTAACAACCTAGTTCTCCTAATTATCATCTTTCTTCTTCCCTTTAATCCAAGTATGCAAGTCAATAGTATCACAGGCTCACTCCCCAAAGTTTCTGTGCTAACTCATCAATATCTAAGTTTAGTCCTGGGGTTTTGTAGGATGCATAGGAGTACAGGGTGGAAGGAAAAAGGAGAGACAAATCCTGACCCATTGCCACAGATGAGTATAATAAGGCTAATGGTGAGATATGCATTGTGATAGGGCCCTTCCCGACACTTGGGGTGGGAAGTTTTTACAATGTAGCAATATCAGCCTCTGTGTAGCATGTGTAAGTCTAATGTAACTCTATAACATAAATCCCACCCAACCAGAGGGTAGAACGGTACTGTGTGCCCATAAAAGGGAAACAAAGACACAGAAATGGCATAAAAGGGTACAGCTATGCCATGTATGGCCTCAGCCTTTGTCCACCAATCTGCTGAGTGAGAGCTGACCAGCACTGACCAAAATAAAGCTGCTTCCTTGGAAAAAGCCATCGGTGTCCCCGTCTCTCTACATGAAAATACCACAGCAGTGTGATTTGCATTAGTGTTGCATTTGACCTTGAGGGTGTCCTAAATCCTGAAGGAATACAATGTGTTTATTATTATAAAAGGTGTAGTTGTATAAAGTAGTATTAACTGTATAACCGCATTCGCTACTTACAGCAAGATTCATTAACTGCTATCAAATGTCCGGTACAATGCAAAAGCTTAAGGGATATTTTGGAAAGTGATGCAGGCCTAAAATAAAATTAATTAAAAGTTTTCCTTTACTTTATTTATGCTTCATCCTTCCTGCCAAAAATGAAACTCATCTCGAGATTTATCTAAGAATAGTTGGCAAGGAGATCTCACAGGCACGGTCAAGCATTTTTATTCATCTTCGTGACAGTTTTGCTTTGACTTTTTCAGAATTTATTGGGCAATTTTTCTCTACCAGGATCTCTCATATTCATTATCTTACTCACCCCTAACATCAAGCCCACAAAGCGGTATTTCTATCTCCACTTTACAGTTAAGAAAACTTTCCTGGGGGCTGGGGATTTAGCTCAGCGGCACAGCGCCTGCCTGGCAAGAGTAAGGTCATGAGCTTGATTCCCAGTGCCAGGGGAAAAAAAAAGGAAGGAAACTTTTTTTGTTCGGTTTTGTTGTTGCCCCCCGTTATCCCAGCATTGTGGGAGGCTGAGGCAGGAGGATTGCAAGTTAGAGCCCATCCTGGGCAACTTAATGAGATCCTATCTCAAAATTAAAAGATAAAAAATGGCTGAGGGTGTAGGATCCCAGGGACTTCACACTGAGAAGTCCCTGGGATCAATCCTCAGTGTTGGGGGAAGGAGTAAGACACAGAGAGAGAGAGACAGAGAGAGAGAGAGAGAGAGGAGAGAGAGAGAAGGGGAAGGAGATGAAGGATGACAAGGAGGACTGGGAGGCAAGGGAAGGGTAAGGAAAGGAAGAAAAGAAAAGAGTAGGAGAAAAAGAAATCTCTTGTGTACGCCAGCTAAGTGCCATGTCAGCTGAGGGCTGTCAGTACTCAACACTTAATAATCAAGCGGAGTCCTGAAGCGAAGTATCTTGGCTTTCAAATTCAGAATGCTTCTCCCTCTCTGGCACAAAGGCAGACTCTGGCCACATCTTTACAACGCGGTCATTGAAGGTAAACCTCACAGTTATAAGAATTTAATTTGCTTTTATTCCTGGGATGACAAAAGTAACGCATCATATTCAAATGTCCGGGTGAATGTTCCCCTCTCAGCTGCACAGCGCACAGGACTCCGGAGCCTGCGTGAGCCTCGGCCGACGCCTCACTCGGCCCAGCCTGGGTTGGGTCAGAGGCCCGAGGGCTGGGCTGGCCATCGCAGCCCAAGTTCAGGGACAGCGGCTTGCTCAGCTTGTGCCTCCTGTCCGTCCTGTGACCTCGAGCAGTGACTTAACCTCCTCCCTGCGTCTTAGCTCGTTCAGCTCCTAAGTGTGGGTGATGCCGGGTCTATCCTGGGGGATTTAGGGTCAAATGAATTCACTTAGACAAAGCGCTTACAACATTGCCTAGAACACAGTCCCTGCGACTTATGCGCTATTCCTGCTGTCAACACCACACAGTCCAGGAGACCGCAGGCAGCAGTAAGTCAATAATTACGGAACCAAGATGGTCATTTAATACCACACATTTATGTGCAAATGTATGCATGCATATGTACAAAGCGGGGCTTTCTTTTTCTTTCCCAGTTTAATTTTCCAGCCAACACTTAAGGATTTTCGATACCTACAGAATCACTCTCTTTTTCCAGTCATTGCAGGCACTAGAAAGAGACAAGCAACGGCTCAGTGACAGAACCCTCAGGTCCAGGCAGCTGACTCGGAGAGATGTGGCCTCTCGCTGGCGGGGCCAGCGCCCCAGGCCAAGTGCTGGCAGGGCTGGATTCTCCCCAGCCCTCTCCTGGCTGGCGGTGGCCACCGCGATCTGGCGGTCTCTCCGCAGGTCTTGCCTCTGTGCGCACACAGCCAGGTTTCTCGGCGAGCTCCGTCTCCTCTTCTTACAAGGATGCCAGGCAGGTTGTGTAAGCTCCCCCGCCCAAGGGCCTCGTCTGAACATAATCACACTTTAAAGGACTTAGCTCCAAATAAAATTAGTTACGTTCTGGGGTGGGGGTTAGGACTTTGACATGTGAATGGAGGGTTCCTACGTGAGCAGTACTTGGATGACTTTATCTCAGTGGGTGGGAGCTGTGACCCTTCCCTGGCTTTGTGTCTGTCCCCACAGTCACCCAAGGAGACCACCCCAGGCAGACCTGCGCAGATGCTTGGCTGGAACACGGTGTCCTGACATCCTCTTCGGATTTCAGCTGGAGAGCCGAGCTATAAGACAGCCGCGCCACCCTCCAGGGCCACCCGTGTCATTGCCGTTGACCTGCCAGGGCTGCCGTGCCCGTCCGTGGGCAACACCGACCCCACATCCACCCAGGAGCGGGCTGTCAAAGAATGCCAAGGGTTATCAGAATATTTTCTGTGCTTTTGCGTCAAAGGCTTCCAGTCATTTAACTTGAAAGTAGCTATACATTGGCTCTTTCAAGGCAGTCATGAGGGGCTGGGGATTTAGCTCAGCGGCACAGCGCCTGCCTGGCAAGCGCAAGGTCATGAGTTCGATTCCCAGTACCGGAAAAAGAAACAAAGCAAAACAAAACAAAAAAAAAACAATCAAGGCAGTCATGGGAAGACCTGAACAAAAAGAAGAGGGATGCACTGGAAGCAGTAGCCAGGATGTGACAGCAGGACAGGAAGCCTCGGCCCACATCTCCTCTGGGAGGTGAGTGTCTTGTGAGAATGGGATGTACAAGTTGATGTGATGATACCAGTTCCTGTAATGGGCCAAATTCGCCAGCTCTGCTCATCCTGCTGCTCCGTTTTCTGTCTGTCCTTGTAGTGGATTAACTAATAGGCATCCAGCTGAACTGAATCACATGGTGCTGGGTGTGCAAGGCCCACCTGAGGGTTGTTTCCAACAGCATAAAGCAGAGAGCTGGAGGGAAGACGGTGTGCTGTTGATTCTCCTGGAGAAGCTTGTCATGCTGGTTTTCCTGGTATGAACTCAGCTGTTCTCATCCTCAGAGGTGCTTGAGACCTCGCTGTTGCTGAGGATGGCTGCGGTTCTCTTCAGGGGAGCTCTGCTCCTTACCTTGAGCATCGCTTCCTGGCTCTGGTACGGATCTCTCAGCCTGCCGGCACAGATCCTTCATCCCACTGGCACAGGCATTCATTCTAGCTTCTACCACTGACCTTTGGGCTTCCTCAGTGCAGACCCTTGATACAGACTTGCTTGAGACATTGTCCTGGGCTGTAGGCCTCCAGCTGGTCTCGTGCAGGACAGGACACTGCCCTGGGCTCTAGATCTTCACCTGGACTTGCGCAGGACGTTGCTGTGGGATCCAAGCCCTCAGCTGGATTCTGCGGGTCTCTAGTGTGTGGACAGATCTCTTGCGCTCTTCTGCTTTTGATTCTTTGGGTGAATATTATAAAATAACCCTATAAATGACGTGTCCTGTATTAAACCTATGCCCTTGTAAACCCTGATTACAACAGTCCTAATCCTCTTGGAGGGCTTTGCAGTCCTCAGTAGCAGCAAACAGTAGGGAAAGTAACTGAGGCAGGGGACAATGTTGGTCTTAGCTACCAACGATCTAAGATACACGAAGGAGGTTTTGTCTGTGGTTGATAACCTAGATCATGCCAAAGGCTGCTGCCCCAGGCGGAAGAGGCCAAGCCGGGACTTCGTCCCGGTCAGCCGTGGCCTGTTTTCCCCTGTGAGGTAAGGCAGATTCACAGACTCGGGGACTTCCTGTGGTGCCTCTGGCTGCACAGCAGAAGGCTAAAAAGGACAGCAGAGCCCAAGCTGCCCCTGGCTCCCCTGCACAGCACCCCCAGCTTTCTTCACAGTTTTCTTTCCGTCTCACAATCTCATGTTCGAACCCATCATTAGGGTAAAAAGAGGGCGGTGTAACCAGGGCGACCGACTCGGAGTGTGATCTGCGTAGTCTGGGCCCCCAGTCTTCAGAATTACCTTGGCTCATTTCCCTTGTGTCTCTCTAGAACCCACGGACTTCACACACCCTTGTCCTGTTATTTCACTAAGATGTTTCCCTCTCCCAACTAGACAGATGCCCCAATCCACGACACTAACACTTCTGCAATTTTATTTCCTTTCAAGGGTATTTATCCCCTTATAGAAAGAAACGTAGCCTGAATTTGCTCAGTTCTTCCCTCGTGATCTGTCTTTGAATCATAACATGGAGGAATTTTAAGTTTACCTGCCTAAAATCATGTTAAATCTGTCGGTAAGATTATGAAGTGGGTGTGATGTCACTGTGAGAGAACTTCGGGTCCGGTTGTGGAATCTGGCTTTGGGTTCTAATTCCACAGTCGCCGACTCTGTGAGTTCAGGTGAACTCTTCTCTCTGACCCTCTGAGCGCCCACGTAGGGAGCAAGAAGGCGGACACCCAGGTTACGCTGAAGGGTATGTAAGGTATGTGAAGTGTCACTTATAAAACGTTACACCTCCTACGGGGCTTAACTGTCGTAGGTACTTGGCATATTTGGCTTAAAGTCATTTGTATTAATGTTCTTCTGTTTTCTTACAAAAGAAATTTTATTGTGAAACAATCTCAAACATACTCAAAAAATGAAGTCCAATGTTCCTACTAGCCACCTTTAAATCCACTGATACCTTGCTAAACTCATTTCATCTAACTCTCCACTTTTCCCCTGTAGTATTTAAAAGAAAATCCAAGACACCGGGCTACCTCATATGTAAATACTTCAGTATACACCCTAATAGAATTAAGAGTCATTACTTAATATCATCTATAACCCAGCACATATGCAAATATTTATGGTTATCTTGAAAGTGTCTTTTATGGGTAAATTGTTGAAATAAGAATCCAAAGTCCACATACTGCATTTACTGTGATATGTTTTAAGAGACTTTAGTTTAAAATAACCCCCAATCACTTGGAGTTTTTATGCCATTGATTTGTTAGAAGCCAAACAAACACGTTATTTATATCATGAAATAGTTTATGAGGTATGATAAAAAAATGAATGCTTAATGTTTTAAAAAAATTCTTACAGTAAGGGACGCATTGCCATTAATCTCCCCAAAATACTTCCCTTTGCTTCAAACACACATCCCATTGTTCCCGCCGCTTTCTACAGCATTTCTGGACGTCCTTTTTGCATCTTTGGTTACGTTGTTACGGCTGCCTCGATGTCCTGAATCCATTCAAAACATTTACCTTTCAAGGTCATTTTGACTTTGGGGAAGATTGAGAAGTGGCGGGGTGCCAGACGCCGGGAGAACTGGGCGAGGACACTCGGTAAAGATTTCCCCGGCCTCTGCCTGTCCAGCGGATGGCAGTGGCCGGCTGACTTCTGATCATACCCTGTACACACACAGAACTGCTTCCGGAAGAGGCGAGAAGGAGGGGATAAGTCTGTTCAAAGTGAGCGGGTCCTTTCAGGGGTCAATGGCAGGGTAGCTTCCACTGTAATACATTTAAAATTTTAAACATTCCCCATGTATTTTGAGCATTCCTTGTACATTCTTAATGCCATTCACTACTTGTGGCAAAACTGATGATTACATTAGAGGATTGATTAGACTTGTGTTTGAATTTCATGGGCAAGCATACTTCACAAGGGGTGCTAAAATTTGCAATCTTTTGAGGATGAGCAATGCTATATTTTAAACGGATTTTCTTTGCTTTTCCTTCTTTCTCTTTTTTCTTGAGCTGTGGGAGATCAGATGCAGGGCTTTACTGCCTGCCAGGCAGGCCTTCTATCTCTGAGTAAACTTCAGGAACTTTTAAGAATTTCTAAATCCAGGGGCTGGGGATTTAGCTCAGCGGCACAGTGCCTGCCTGGCAAACA